CTATAATGATACACTGATTTTCGCTCACTAGAGTAGCTAAAATTCAAAAGACCAAAAAGACCAAATGGTGAGAATGTAGTGCTTGGAACCCTCATATTTGTTGGTACAGGTGTAAAAATCATGAAACCACTTGGGAAAACTGTTGGAAATTTTCTTAAAACTTGGCATGTGGAAAATGGAAGGGTCTGCAGGCATCTGGATTTTTTACAAGGTTTTTTTGTTTGTTTGTTTGATTGGTTGAGCTTTTTTGTGTTTTTTTGTGTTTTTGGTTTTGTTTTGTTTTGTTTTGAAGCAGGATAATATCAAGGCTCTGACTAAATTATCATGATCTATGGATCGAAAAACCACTTAGTAGGTCAATTTTGAAACAGATTTGAGAAGATATTGTATCTGGTTTAAATTTCATGAACGTTTACTTCTTTATGTGAGATTGAGTTATGTCTGCTTCTAAGGTCTTGGTGGATAACAGTATTGAAGATAAACAGTACTGATATTCAATGAGCTAGACTGGCTTCTATATTCTGTAAAGTACTGGGTGTTGCATAAAGGATTCCCAAGAAGAAGGAGTGACTGGGAGGGCAGAGGACGTTTATAGAAAACAGCTTTGTCTTGAAACATTTAATCTGATAAAATATCATTAAACATGGAAGTTATTGTATTTTTTTCATCATTTCCTCAATTATTTTTATTTTTTGTATATTTTTTTCTTCTTATGTCATAAATATTTAATATTAAGCCTATGTGGAAATGCATTTAATAATCACAGACACTAGTAAATTTATGCCACATTTAACACAAACATAAGCATGTGTACATTCATACACATACATATAGTTTCATCCACAAACCAATAGTCAAACTGCATACAGATTATTCCTAAGACATTGGGATCATGCTCCAGGTCCAGCGCATTATTATTTTGACACCCATCACAAGAGTGCAAAAGGAAGTTAGAAATTGGGCAAACCAAGACTAGATATAAAAATGTGTGCAGGACTTGCCCTGCACTGTGTGCAGTACCTGGACAAATATTTTTGTAAGGCTCCTGAATATATTAACAATTTGACTATAAATTTATTATAAAATTCATGTACATATGTGATATATAATAATTTATTGATGAAGATTTAGGATAATGGGTAGAAAATATATATATTCTTGGTTGTTCAATCACTGCACATGGAGATCCTTTATAGTTTCCAGATAATTTCTTCTTTCTATTCCCTTACATTATTAACTTTCTATTCATGTTTTTTAAACTGTCAAACAGACCATTTCTGACCATTTAATTTCTCCTGCCACAAAGGTAAGGTACTAACACTGTTATTACTTACAATGCCATGGCTCTTCAAAACAATATAGATTGTCTTGCTTCTGGCATTTCCAATTCTAATTATTTAATACTAATTGCACCATTACTTAAGATGCTGCATCACTCATTGTACTACTTATGAATAGCAGCTTCTAATGATCTCTCAAAGGTTTGTCTTGTCCTTCATTGGTGATGACCATAAATGTCAGGCTTAACCAGATCATTCAGGAAAATGTGCATGATAGTTTTTTTCTGTTCATGTTAAATTTATTTTTTTGAATTTTATAACATTAATTTAGAAAAACACATCTTTTAGCCACCTGAAATATTTAGTCCCTAATCACTGTATATCTAGAAAGTGATCTTTTTCAGTTCTGATTGCATTGCTCCCTTTTATGCAGTGTCACCAGCTTGGAGTATAGGTGAGGCATGTGGGTAGAGTGAGAACCTTCCCATTCATACAAGGAATGCCCCTACCTCATCTGACATTACTTAACATTGGCTCAAGAAAGCATGTCAGCATATCAATTGGAGATAAAATAGGACATAGATTGAAAGTACCTAATGACATTGAAGAACAGTGTTCTCAAAAGACTCTGGAGTGGTAAATGCAACCATTTCTGGAGGAACACCTGGTGAGTAGTATGGAGCCTATGGAAGGGTTGGGATAATCATTCTGGGTACCAATGCTATGGTAGAGGAGGCAGTGAGATAGAGGATATATGCTGCTCCCACTGCCACCCTTGGATGTTGTAGCTAGGAGGCAGCACTAAGTTTGAACATAGATGGGTGGGAGTCAGTGAACAGCTCTAACACATAACTCAAGCCCAAGGTTCAGAAGAGGACCAATGGTTAAATCAGAGCCCTGAACTCCTCCTATGTCTGCAGGAAGTGATGAGTGAGGGTCACCTCCAATCAGCATGTCAGCACTATTGTGATGGCTTCATCTTCTGGAATTCCATGAAAGAGAAACTTCGCTGTCCAGAAAATCTTATCTGCTCACCAAGCCGCTCTACTGAACCCAGGTCCTAGCCATGAGATCTCAGGACAACCCCATAGATACGGGTCTCAAAGCGTCTTCAGTCAAATGGCTGATTTTCCAAGCTGGTGGGTACAAGAAAAAGAGTCACAGAGTTCTCTAAAGAGGAGAATTGAGGACTGGGCTGATGTGCTCAGCTGGATCTAGGCTCAGGGCACCCTGTCAGACAGCAGTGCCGTCCCCAACCAGTCCCATGTACCAGAAACAAACTTAGAAAATTTTGAGGAAGCTACTCCAAAGCACAGAGGTACCCTGGGAAGGGAGCCTAGGACAGGGACTCAACCAGGTCTAAGCAGTTTGCTCATGGTCCATCTCAGGACCAGCATTATAATGAATCCCATTCCACATTATGTACACTATTACTTTTACATTGAATTTTACCAATATCGTATATAGATTTAACCAGCGGTCTGTATACATGCCATAGACTGCTTCATATCATTGACTGCAGAATAAACCCTGTCTTTAGTATGTTTATATGTGGTATAGATATGGATGGCCAGGGAGTTGGCCAATCTTTACCACTCACCACTGATGGACCACACTGGTGAGGACTGTACCAGTTTCACTCTGTTACTGTTCTGCTTGTTCCTGTACTTAGGCTTTCTGTAGTCTCCTTTCTGTCATCACCAACACCAATCCTAGGATACTCGCTCTCTCTCCCACTTTCCTAGATATCTCCATATGGGACCAATGGTTGAGCCTCATGTACATACATAAAATATTTTCAACCTAAATGTTTTACAAGAGCTAAGAGTTTGTGGATTTATATGATTTGTATGAGTGATCTATATGATTTATATGAGTTATCTACTCTTTTTTTTTTTTTTCTAAAAATTTTTTTTTTCAACGTTTATTTATTTTGGGGACAGAGAGAGACAGAGCATGAACGGGGGAGGGGCAGAGAGAGAGGGAGACACAGAATGTGAAACAGGCTCCAGGCTCTGAGCCATCAGCCCAGAGCCTGATGCGGGGCTCGAACTCACGGACCGCGAGATCGTGACCTGGCTGAAGTCGGACGCTTAACCGACTGCGCCACCCAGGCGCCCCAATCTACTCTTGTTATAATCAAAATGCTGCTAAATGTGCATACACTTTATGCACACAAGTTCCTGCCTTTATTTGGACCTTGGTTTTCTTACTTGTAAAATAAAGGAGAAATATAAAATAAATGGGAAAGATCAGGTGAATTTTAATGTCTTCCCAACTTCAAAATATTTTGTCCATTAGATTTTAGGACTAAGAGACAGAGGCTGAAAAAAACAAACAAGCAAACTTTTTGATGCTCACAGGAGTAAGGGTATTTCACAAGGTGCTATAGGACCCAAGAATTTTGCTTTGCCAGTATCAAACTTCAGACCAAGAGCTGCTCAGATTCACCCAAATTGCCCAGATTTACAGAAATTGCAACAGGTATTGTTGCTTTGCTTGTACTCTTAGCTATATCTATCCTCATTTTCTGATATTCCACTCTGGTGTGCTTTTGAGTATTTTGCTTACCATCATGCAAAACGAGAATGTGGTTCTGAAACAGAAGATATGATGAAGATTTCTGATTTTTTTTAAAAAGAGCCCTAGTCAGTCACAAATTAAAGTTCAGTGATCCTTTCATCTAGTTTATAGCAAACTACATTCTCCACCTATAACTGGAGTTTGGAAAATGGTACTACATATTGGAAATCTGCATTATTAATAAATTATACTGAGATTATTCTGAATTCGCTATCAAGACTGATTTTGTGCTTAAACCATAGGAGGATGCTGATTTCCTTTTCCAAATTTTCTGGAATCTTGTATATATGAAGGTAAATGGGTAGCAAAGAAGGAAAATTTTAGGTAGAATTCAGTTAGAACTAGACATAGAACACATACAGTTATTCACATCTAAAATGACTTTGCTGTAAGTGAGGAAATAATGTCATATATCGTTAATGTCTAAACTGTATTCTCCCATATTCTTCAATTCACAGATACTTGGTTTATTGGAGAAACAGTGAAGAAGAGATAGAGAGAGAGAGAGATAAAAAGAGAAAGAGAGAAGGGAGGAGGGAGGGGGAGGAAAAAGAGGGAGAGAAGGAGGAAGAGAGGGAAATGGGAAGAATTAGATTAGAAAGAAGAAAGGGAACAAAAATGACAGTAAGAACAAGACAGGGGAACCATTAAAATGAAAATGAGTAATGACTCTAGAGAAGGAAGACAAAACTTGAGGATTAATATACAGAATATAAATCTGTGGAACAGATGCACTAGTTTAGACACTGTCACCAAGCCATGGCTTATACCTTATTTTCCTCATCTACAAAGTGAGATTGTTGAATCAGTGTTCCTTCAGGGTCTAAACGTACCTAAAGAGAAGACACATGGAAAAATGGGGAGTGTTCTCATCTTTTCCCACCAGCCATTCTACTCCCAAACCACTGCTGCCTCCAGGACATCTTCCTTTTCCATCAGTGCTTTCCCTTCGTCCAGTTACATGGGGTGGGTGGGTAGAGCAGACAGCAAAGTTACCTGTCAACTCTAAATGAATTCCAATAAAAAATAAAAATCTGGCTACTGCTATCTACTCTAATAGGAAATTTGAAGCAGAGCTCAGATGATTAAAATGTGGGTGGTATGTGGATATATTTTCCAAATGTTGACACAGAACTATTATTTCTGTACAAATATCTTCACAACTCTCTCTCGGATGTGTTTGGTCCTGACTCCATAGATGACCGGATTAAGGGCCGGTGGGACAACCACATAAAGATTAGCCAGAAGAATGTGGATATAGCGGGGAATGTTTCTGCCAAAACGGTGTGTCATGAAAGAAAAAAAAGCTGGCGTGTAAAAGCACAGCATGACACAGACATGAGAACCACAGGTATTGAGAGCCTTTAGCCGGGCATCCCGAGAAGGAAGGCGGAAAACAGCTCGAAGGATAAGCACATAGGAGGAGGCAATCAGGATCACATCCACAATGATATTAGAAATCACCATGAGCCCATAGATAATGTTGACCTTGATGGGTGCACAGGCCAACCGGGCAAGACCCATGTGCTCACAGTACGTATGAGGGATGATGTGATGCCCACAGAAGGGCAACCTCAGAATGAGAAACACGAATGGAGTCACAAGAATTAAATTTCTTCCAACAACAAGAGAAGCTAGGATGCTGATGGTTTTATTGGTGAGGATCATGGTGTACTGGAGAGGGTTGCAGATGGCAACAAAGCGGTCATAAGCCATGGCCACCAGGAGAACAGTCTCCATTCCTGTGAACATGTGGATAAAGAACATCTGGGCAAGGCAGCCCCCAAAGCTGATCTCCTGTTGGTTGAACCAGAAGATGCCCAGCATTTTGGGGATGGTGGACGTGGACAGACCCAGATCGATCATAGACAACATGGCCAGGAAGTAGAACATGGGCTGGTGGAGACTGTGTTCAGTCTTGATCACAAAGAGAATGGTGATGTTCCCCACAAGGGCAATCAGGTACACAATGCAGAATGGGAAAGCAATCCAGATATGTACAGTTTCCAGTCCTGGGATTCCTAGCAGGTGAAACAAGGGGGGATGGAAGTGGGTGTCATTGATGGAAGTCATTCTCCCAGCAAGTGTCATTGAAGTCCTGTTGAGACGTAGGTATCTCACTCTCTTTATGATCTTTTCTTTATCAAGGTCATAGGAAATGAAGAGAACCTTAACTGGTGTGCTGGAGGTAATAGCAGGAGTGGTTGATTGCAAACTTGAGAGATTCTGCTCTTTCCAGAGGGTAATTGAGTAACTCTCAATACATGTTATTGTTCTGAGATGAATTGTGGGTGATATTATGTGTACCTTTAACTTTTGTAATAATGTGAGTTCTTTGAAGGACCTTATAGTCTTTCACCTAGTAGTGTATGCTTATCTGCTTGATATTTTCTTCCATTTTTTTTTTTCAAATAGCTCCTTTTTTTATTTTTGGGAAACTGCTATACCCGGTACTTCTCAAAGTGCGATCTGGTGTTAGAGAATCCAAAGTCCAAATGAGAAAGACCGAATTATACCATTGGCTGTCTTTTGATATAATATAAATGTAGGGATTTACCTAATGGATCTCATATAGTCACATGACTTAAGGGTGGTCAATCAGATGGTCTTTCTTTAAATTTCCCTCAATCTATCTCTCCTATGAGACCGTTGTTGTTTTTGATGATTCCTGATCTTATGGAATGCCTTAGTTTCCTATCCCACACCTCCAGACTCTGTTTATTCTGTCATTCCCTAATGTTCTTACAATAAATTACCTTTTGCTTATCAAGTAAACTACGTTCATCTTTCTTACAACATATAATGAACATAGAAAATTACACCTTGTCCTTAAGTTGTTCCTGGCTTCAGGTATGAATAGATAAAACAAGTAACAAATTTCAGTGACACCAAAATTGAAGTGTTGTTAATGAATCTTTCCTGATCCCTGAAATGAATAAAGGAAATTGTTTTAACACTTTGTGCCACTAGTATATTGTACAATTATGCTGCATCTAATACAACATGACTTCTTTTATGTATTTATCTATTTGTTACCAATAGAAATGCTGCTGCCTGAGGGCAAAAACTGGGGGATATTCATTTTAACATTCCCAACACTTCCACAGGAGTGTATGGTTCCAAGTTTTTCAGAATTTAGCTGTTGAATAGAATCAGGATTTGTGTAAGTGTGCGCTTATGTGTGTGTATGTGTGAGAGATAGAGAAAAAGAGAGTTAGTTATTAAGCTGATTCTTATTATGTATGTGATTGCATATAACTTTGCCAGCTAGTTATTGCTGAGTAGTAATACCCAGGCAAGGGAATTGATAGTCACTTGCTATGCTTGAGAAAGAGGAACATCTCTTGTCTCCAAAGAAGCTAGAGAGAAAATTATTCATATATATGGAGAAAACAATGTTTGTCATGGGAGTATGCAAGGCTGAGAAATCAGAGGGCAATGGCTGGTGGGACTTAGGAGAGTCTGAGGAAGTAAGTAGGATGACACATCATGAGATTCACAGTCCAGAGTCAGCCCCATCTTCAGGGCTGCTGTTTTTCAATGATACTTTACTGGCTGAGGGGGGAGCTTTCCAGGGGAGAAGCAGAGGGAGCTCTTTTTGATAATATACCTCAAATTCAGTAGGACACCCACCCTCTCACAATTTTGGTCAGAAAGTTGCCTTATTTCTGCTGCAGTTGTGTGCCACAAATAGTGGCAGATAGTGTGGGCCAATAAGCTCAAGGATTATTCCTGGAAGGCAAGGTAGTAATTTCATCCTTTTCTAGATGTGCACATGGACAAAAAGCCCAGAGTCCATTTTAAAAGTTTAATTGATAATAGTTAGAGATCTTTCCCTTTTAGTGCCCACCAACTCTCAATTTATTGAAGTTGTGTGTTTTTTTTTTTTTTTACCCCACTGGCTCTTTTTCCTTTGACTCTTATAGTAGAATATTATAGATGATTTATACAGACTTTGAATTCATTCAAACATGCCTTGAAATCTTGCTATGCCATACTAATGGGAATCCTTGAACAAATTCCTTTACTTTCTACATCAGTTTTTTTTCTGTAAAATTGAGTTAATAAATTCTATCCATGTGACTTATTTTAAGCACAAATATGACCAATGCATGTAAAGGACTAGCTCTTAGGATATATTCAATAAGTGGTACTTATTTAAACTATTAGTCCTTCCCCAAATTTTATTTTTATTTTAATTCTAAATAGCTAAGAATGTCACCTAATAGCACAAATAACTTGATTTTAAAGATTTTATTACTTACAAATAATTCATGGTGACTATAGGGTAAGATGAAGGAGGCAGGGAAAGAGGGATGACCCAGAATATTGCAAAGTGAATGAGAAGTGTAGAGCTTCACATTTAGATTTATTTCTAGAATTCTGTGGATTCACACATAAACTAATACAGTTCAGTTGGAAAGTAAACTGTGTTCTCTCTCATTCTACAGATTTCTCAAGCTGGGTGGGATCAACCAATTGATGAGAGTAACTTCTTTCAGGCACTGTCATGAATAGGCTATGACACAGAAAACTAGAGGGGGACATTGGATATGACTGGACTAGCAGATGTACTGGGCTCCATTAAAAAGGCTTGGATATATTTCCATAAAGTAGTAGGTGCATGGTGGGGGAAGGGGGGCAATGTAGAATTGAGAACCTCTACACCAGGATTATGCAGGAGAAAACAAATAAGATTATAGGGCAGACCAAATGTATTAATACCTACATCATTTTATTTGGATATGACATCAGTCACACTTCTACATCTAGCCTCAAACATATGACAGTGGCCTGCAGTAGCCTTCTTCTGCCTCAGATGAATCACAGCAAGCCTAGTTGCTGGGTCTGCTTCCCTGCCAACAATTTGCTAGTCAAAGCAATCTTCTTTAGAGACAAGATATGTGGTTATGCTACTGAAAACTATTTGTGGCTTTCTAGCAGTGAGGAGTATACTATGTGAGGTGTGTGTGTGTGTGTGTGTGCACGCACACGCGTATGTGTGGAAGAGAGAGAGAGGGAGACAGAGAGGAGAGACAATTTCTGCATATTGCCGGTTGGCATATCTCTGTGCTCACCTGCTGAATGTCTGTTCCAGTCCCGTGTGCTCTGTTGTGTTCTTTTGTGAAGAGAATGGATAATGGGGTTTGGATAACTCCTGAGCAGAGAAGAGACTATTGTCCCCTTCTATCCTCATTTACCTCTTCTCTTCCTCACTATCATGTCTCATCTCCCCTGTCTATGTAGCCTTACCTTTCTAATATTTCCTCTGTCAGCCCTCACTTGAACCAATACCACAGCATAAGCCTAGGTGCTTACATATGGTGATTGGAGCCCCTTCAAGCCTCCAGGTCCTAAGTCCATCCTGTCACATGGAGAAAATCTTTATAATGAGTGAAAACATCCCTAAGTCTAAGCATGTCCCAGGATCCCTGAGCTTAGCCTTCAGAGTCCTCTGGGCACATAAACTTGGTCTGATGGGTCATTAAGCCCATCTAACTATTTGTTCCTCTCTACCATCTGCAGAAACAAATCACCAGATCAGATGTAACTTCTAGGTCAGGGGAGATTATGTCTCATGAGCTGTTAGGAAACGAAATATCCTGAAGGGGTGGGGGGAGTCTTTCTGGGGGATGATGTCATGAAAATAATTAAGTTTAAGTCATTAAGTCTTCGGAGTGTGACTTCTTAGGAAACAGCTATTAGTGACTCTTCTGCTTTGTTTAATATAAATGTGTGAATCCTGATGCAGTCTGGTGTTATGACCATGATTTCAAAAGATGAGACCCCTAAAATAGACACATTAGACCCTGTACCAACAGTCTATTTTTTGACAGTGTTCATCCCTGTAGATAATAGTATCAGCTTTCTTCCAACTCAGAAAGATTCTCCTTACAACCTATAACTAATTGTAAACAGATAAAGTCTTTGAAGAGGGGCTTTCATGTGTTTTAACTCTTTTGACAGAAGGTGAAGGAAACTCCACATTCTCCTGAGAAAACAGAATCTAGCTAGAGCTCAAAGTTTAGCTTTCTTTGTCTCCCTCCCTGGATGATGATGAGGTAGACCTTCAAGTACCAGGGCATGCCTTAGGTCAGGATTTTCCTGAGTACAGACAGGAAAAGACTGAAGGACAGTTGAATACATTAGAAAATCTTTTTTTTTTTTTTTTGGCTTCTAAGTTCAGATAATTTTGAGTGGTTAAGAGAGAGAAGATAATATCTGTGTTCCAAAAGAGATTCTGGTTAGATCTGATATGTTCTCCTTTTTATTGCTTCTCTTTTTGATGAATGAAAAGCTTACATTCCTGGCCTCTCTCTGGTCACTCCCTCATGGTATCCATTTTCCCCATTGTTTCAACATTTACCTTTACAAATCAAGCCTGACTCTATCTAATCTCTACTTAAGATTTCTTTTTATTCCCTCTGCTTCTCCATTATATATGTTGGGCTTTATATGATAAAGTATATACACCACTGTTGGCAAAGTACTTCAGCAAATGCCCAACCAAACTGTAAACTTTAATTCTACTTCATGACTCTCCAAAACATTACTCTGTCTTAGGTGATCAAGAGTCCTACTTAGAAAATAACTACTGCTCATTTTCACTTTCCTTCAACTTTCCACCAATTCTCATGTTCTCCATGATGGTCTTCTGTATAAACCATTCAAAAAGGAACCAGATACATGGACTCCTAAATAACTATGATTATTATACAAAGTAAATTGGATGACAAGGTGAAAAACACAATCTCCAAGTCTCTTATTTTTATTTTTATTTTTATTTTATTTTATTTTTTTTATTTATATATGAAATTTATTGTCAAATTGGTTTCCATACAACACC